GGAGGCCATCGCTCTTAGGGTGGAGGCCATCGCTCTTAGGTTGGAGGAGCGATGGGTGGAGGCCATGGCTCTTGGGTTGGAGGCCATCCCTTTCAGGCTGGAGGCCATCGCTCTTAGGTTGGAGGCCATCGCTCTTAGGCTGGAGGCCATCGCTTTCGGGTTGGAGGCTATCGCTCTTAGGGTGGAGGCCATCGCTCTAAGGTTGGAGGCCATGGCTCCTATGGTGGAGACCGTTGGAGGCCATCGCTCTTAGGCTGGAGGCCATCGCTTTCGGGTTGGAGGCTATCGCTCTTAGGGTGGAGGCCATCGCTCTAAGGTTGGAGGCCATGGCTCCTATGGTGGAGACCGTTGGAGGCCATCGCTCTTAGGCTGGAGGCCATCGCTTTCGGGTTGGAGGCTATCGCTCTTAGGGTGGAGGCCATCGCTCTAAGGTTGGAGGCCATGGCTCCTATGGTGGAGACCGTTGGAGGCCATCGCTCTTAGGCTGGAGGCCATCGCTTTCGGGTTGGAGGCTATCGCTCTTAGGGTGGAGGCCATCGCTCTAAGGTTGGAGGCCATGGCTTCTATGGTGGAGACCGTTGGAGGCCATCGCTCTCAGGCTGGAGGCCATCGCTCTTGGCTTAGAGGCCATCGCTCTTAGGGTGGAGGCCATCGCTCTTGGGTTGGAGGCCATCGCTCTTAGGTTGGAGGTCATCACTCTTAGGGTGGAGGCCATCGCTCTTAGGTTGGAGGCCAATGGCTCTTAGGGTAGAGGCCGTCGCTCTTAGGGTGGAGGCCATCGCTCTTGACGTGGAGGCCATCGCTCTTGGGCTGGAGGCCATCGCTCTTAGGTTGGAAGCCATCGCTCTTAGGTTGGAGGCCATCGCTCTTAGGGTGGAGGCCATCGCTCTTAGGTTGGAGGCCATCGCTCTTAGGGTGGAGGCCATCGCTCTTAGGTTGGAGAAGCGATGGGTGGAGGCCATGGCTCTTGGGCTGGAGGCCATCGCTCTTAGGTTGGAGGCCATCGCTCTTAGGTTGGAGGCCATCGCTCTTACGGTGGAGGCCATCGCTCTTAGGTTGGAGGCCATCGCTCTTAGGTTGGAAGCCATCGCTCTTAGGGTGGAGGCCATCGCTATTAGGTTGGAGGCCATTGCTCTTAGGGTGGAGGCCATCGCTATTAGGTATCTGTTTCTTTATGGTTATAGTTATAATTTACCATGAGTACTTTTTTGGCCAGCCTTGAAGATCGGATTGCAGCCAGCGAAGAGCCCGGTGAACCAGCGAGCTGCCAGGAAGTGCCAGAAGGTCAGGTGTTGCAGCGCGTAGACCTCTTTACAAATGACATCCGACGGGAAACCAATGTGTCATTCAGTCATTGACAATTCATGTGTCATTTAGTCATTCCTTCAGAGGGGACTTCTTAAAAAAAGAGCCGCGCCTGAAAACCGAAGAGAAAGGAAGTGCAAAACATCGAAAACATCAAGACATTACGACGGCCCATGGAATCGCTGCAGATCGGCAAGATCGACACTGCAAAGAGCATTCCGAGAGACCTTGGGGGTCTTGTTGGGCTGAAAAAACATTGCCAAGAGTACTACACTACATTAAGTCACTATGTCCAAAATAAGCATGCTGACATTCTGATTCCTTTGACACAAAAATCTCTTGTCATTTCTTTTCTTGCAAAACGACACAAAACACAACGTCAACACACGTGTCGCAGCCGTATGCGTTAAGTCTATGGTCCAAGTGACAGGCAAGAAGACACAAAGCCTGTCTGCGCGGTGGAAAGTTGATATTGCGCCCGAATGGTCGGGTACGCTGGCATCGGCATCGTCAATCCTGCCGAATGTCTTGTGAAGACTTCTTTGGAAAAAAGGAAATATATATATATATATGTATACAACGGGAAATCAGTACAAGCCCCAATACGCTGTGGCTTCAGGTGTGCTTTTCAATCAAAAACACGACACTGAGACTCGGAGAAGGTTGGAGAGCTCCGGGGAGCCCATAAACTTTAGTCAACTTTAGTCAACTTTAGTCCATTGTACTCCATGTAGCACAGCTGAGTAGAAAGATGACAATTAGTTTAATCAAAGGAGAATCCTTGTGCAAAATGCTTCAGGATCCCTGCCTAGAAGACTCAAGCACGATACAACGAGAAGAAAGTAGACACTGCTCGGTTTGACCTGGCGTGGACGATCGCCCAATCTCGACTTGAGGATACTTGACTTGGGACCGCAGGGAATGTAATGAAACTGTATCGGATGCCAAAAAAAAACATGTCTCGCAACGCCCCGAACAATACTTACAGTGGAGGCTCTTGAAAGAATTGAACACTCATCAAAAGACCAATGGCAGAAAGCAATCCAGAAAGCGCAAACTGCCCAAACTGCCACGCCCTGAATGCCTGCATCTTGGGGGACGGCGCAGCTACACCCTTCTGTCTTCTGACATGCCGTGTCCTGCGCGCAAGCTCTGGACGACAAAAAAAGACAGCCTTGTCCAACCACGGTTCTGCTGGCTCTATTCTTGCAATGGTGCGATTTGTTGCTGGCAAGGAGTATTTGGGAATGAAGACAATGTTCAGCAATTTGGCTGCAAGAGGCAAGGGACTACAGCACTACCAGTGTTTGTATCGTACATCAGCTGAAGCTTTCATAGGTTTACATTCTCAACCGTAATCAGTTTCCAATGATATGTAAAGCAAGCACTGGGGTATTGCATGTCATCTATTTCTGTCGGGCACTTTCCTGTCCTGAAGACTGTTCTGGAAATGCCCGTCCCGGCCGAAACAAGTGCCGCTGTGCAGCCAAATTGAATCCTCCTAACAATCGGAGAGTTGCTCAGGCCTCTCTTCGAACAAATCAAGCAATCCAACCATCTTCAAGTCTTTATTGTTACTCTCACAACTGAAGCTGCAAAAAATAAATTGAAAGCATGAAATTCTCAGATGGTCCTGGAGGTCTTGGAATTGCGCGCTTTCGGCGCCTCATGGGCCTCCCGGATTGCAGAGCTCCTCCTTGTCCAATGCACGGGAGAGGGACACCTTGGCACCTCAAGGGACATGGCACCGCGTCCCTCAGTGGCGCGGTCGCGCCCCGTTGAGGCGGGTCGGCCTGGATCCCTCGCAGCAGGTCGGAGTCGGTACCAAGTCTCAAAGGTTGACTTTTCTCCAAAGGGGCTTCTGGCATCGCTACTAGGAGCAAGCAACAAAGGGCATCGCTACTAGTAACAAAGGGCATTACTGCTAGTAGCATTCTGACTACTAGTAACAAGGGCGCTACGTACGATCTTTCAATTAAGTATGACAAAGCATACACAGCTGCAAGCCCACTCCTCGCTGGGAGAGTTTGAGGCAGATTCTGCACCTGGAACGAATTAAATTACACGATCATGGACCCCAAATAGTTAGCATGTGTCTTTCAAAGCACAATGCCCAAAAATTGTATATTTGATGGAAGATATACTTACAATCACATGTAACGTTGGACACAGGACACCATTTTCCACCCAGCTTAGTAAAAGGTATCAGGCTGGTAGAGTGGGGGTGAGGGGATGAAGAGTTGTGTGCAGGCATCTCACAGTGAGCGACACACTCTTGATCGAGATGGGCTCATTCATGTGATGATGACATGACATTCCTGCATGCAATTCCCCAATTCACTTTGTGGAAGCACAGGACCCAATCCAATAAGAAAGAGTCCATCACTCCAAAACAGGGTGAACAAATGTCCTGCAGGTCAATCACTGTAAGAGTAATCACTCAATCAACTAAGCACAGCACTACCTAAATGTCCTGGGTGAACATTGGCTTGAACAAAACTACAAATACATCTGCATCACCGCTTAGTTGCGCAAACTCCTGGGAACATGTTGAACAAAAAACACAGGTGCAAACACCGGCAATTATGTCCTATGCTGGCAACTGCGCAGCGTTGACTTTAGCGTGTGGGTGTATACCTAAACGGCGGGAGCAAAAGCAGCACCCAATAGCAGCACCACCCTCTTCGCACCCAATCAGTAATGTGGGTCATCCGGGTCATCTCCAGCGGCTTTCCACACCATCATTTCACAAGCTGCTCCAGCCTCGCGACATTGTGTTGACCTGCGGGTCTAGATTGACATAATTCCCTTGCATGCAACAAAAAACTTTACAAATTGAACTAAGAATGCAAGACTACAGCTTTACCCAAGAAACTCCAAGTCGGAGAGATGTTCACACAACTACCAGTTTGTTTCACACACGGGTACTGGAACTTGGAATAAATACAAAAAGACTTGAACCCTGTGGGGGAAAATAGAATCGGAAGACCACAAGCTCAAGAAATCCTTGATGAAACATGAAGAACACGTCTGTAAAAGTAAATCCGCCTGTGTGCGGGTAGCTTTTGATCTGCCTGGCAAACAAGAGGCCTTGACATTGCCACAAGATCTAGCATCCATCCATCCATGTAAAGCAAGGACATCATCAATTTTCCTCAACTGAATGGACAGGTTTTCTTCAGAAGCGGCAAGTGTTGCCTACATACCAGCACACATGCATTCATGGAAATTACAAATGTAGGGCGGCTGGCCTAAACCCTGAACTTGGCTGGCAACAAAAAGGTCATGGACATCTACTGCACTATATCGACCGTTGGTGCTTAAATTGCACAGGCAGCGCAACTTACAAGAGCCAAACAAAGTCACCTGTCAAGGATGAATATGGTCAAGTTTGGGTCTGAGAGTTTTCCAAAGCCTTCCTGCCATGCCCAATGTTGTCTTCATCTCTACCAGAAAAGCTTTTGCCGTTTTGCTGTTTTGCAACTTCCCCAGTGCTTGCAGTGCTTGCAGAGCCTGCGGGGGGCGGCAGACTCAGTCTGTCGCCTGCTCCGAAAACCAAAAAGTGCTGTAGTGCAGCTCCTGTGACTTATCCCTCGTCAACGAAGGAGTGCTGTCAGTAACCTACCAAATTGAAACCAAATTGGCTGAGTACTATTTCGAGCTGAAACCAAGTCAACTTTCCAAAACATCACAAGCGTCTTGGTCAATTCCCAAATAAAAAGACTAATGATACCTAGCACCCCCAAGTCCATGAGTTTTCTATGCTTGGCTTTTGGCAATCTTAGATGCGCTTCAAAGGCATCGCCCATCATTGTGCCCGCTTTTTAGCAGTTGGGCACGGAGCCCGGGGTTCGGTGCCTTGGGCAGTTTTCATTTGGAGAGCCGTAAGGCCGAGCCAAAACCCGCCACCACAGACAGAGCAAATCGCCGCTCACCTGACCTTTTCTGCACATACCATGGGCCTTCCAATAAGGTCAGCCTAAGCCTAAGCTCTCAATGCCATCAGGCACCGCATCATCAAAACATCTCTGAGCACCTGAAGGAGCTCCGAGTCTTTATGGATGGCACCAGCGCTCCGAACAAAAACACGAGTCCAGGTGGTCAAGGTGCTAAGGTGACAATGAACTTGCAGAATGAAGTGACAATGTTCTTTGGTATTCACTTGATTTGGCATCTCGAAGAACAAACAATGCCCTGAGCATTTTGCCTTGGAGCGCCCCGCTACTTCAGACTGAAATTGCGGAGCAGTGCTCAGTAGAAGTAACGATGCATGCTTCCGAACTTGAACTTGTGCTTCTGACCTCAGCAATGGAACACTGGCAACCGCAAAATGAATCTAAATCTTCTGACAATCATGAATGCTGTATGCAATGAGGAAATGAGTACTCTTGAATAAGCTGCATATTCTTCACCTGCACCAGCGGGTCATGGTTCCTCGGTCATGGACGGAGGATCGCCAGGCCATGGCCAATGGTCTGCTCGATCTTGGGCTTGAAATCCGGGTGCTTTTCAAGGATCCTCGAAGATTCCAATCTCTGTCCAGGTCTGTCCATTGGGTCTCTGAATGCGAGTGAAATTGGATTCTCCAGCAAAAAGAGTTGTATCCAATACAATCCGAACACGCTGTGTGGTGGCCTTGTCACCGCCTTAGCCTGCCTGAAAAAAAGACTGAGCTGCGTCTCCGCAAAAGAAAGTGATTGTGGTCCGTTCTTGTGGACCAGAGCAGAACTCCAAGACAGTGGTAGAAACCTCATGGGTCGTCCTTCAGTGGATTGAAAAAGTTGTGCATGACAGTTCTTAATCCATTGAAAGACTGCTTCTCTCCTCTTTCTTTTGACTCTCGTGGGCAGTCTTTTTCGGGCTCTCTACACTGACCACAATGTTTTTTTCCTCGGAAGATTGGGGAAACTGGATCTTTTTTGAAGGAAAGGCCGTATTTGGCATCGAGACAACCCAGTATTGTGCTGATGCCTGCAATTTTTTCAATTTTTTCACCTTCATATACTGCACTGGCACGAGTTCTTGTTGTCACAATTTGGTCAACACAAGCATCACCCTGGGGTGTTTCTCGCTCTTGACACCGAACGTTGGACCAAGCCATTATGAAGAAGACAGTTGCTGTCTGTCAGAGCATTCATAGCAGCGACTTTGGAGGATGATTCTGTCAGAGCTAGGCGTCTTTTCATAGCTCTCAGCCGCCACCTTGGCCTTGGTTGCACGAGTTGCAGAAGCCAAGTGTGTCAGACAGAAGCTGCCATACGCAAAGGCTACCAGCGAGCAGGACAAGACTTCGGTGAGAGACTTCCTCTGACACCGAAGAAGTTGAGATCCCATGTCCACAATGCCTGTGAAGCTTGGGATCCCTACATGTTCGTCCAAATTTTCGACCTTCTCCTGCGCCAAGTTAGGTTTGAAAGTCACTTGTGTACTGTTTTCAGGCCAATTCTCATGAACCTAGCACTGCTAGACTTCAACTTAAAGTAGAACATGACCTCGTTGTCTTGGAGCCAGAACAATAGATCTGGACTGACTATCATTGCTGGAGCAGCATCAAGCCACCCAACATGAGCACACACATGCCTGAATATACACTCAGAACTCAGAAACCAGTAGAGACCAGCGGCTCCTCAGCAGCAAAGCCAGTGCCCATGAAGCCGCTGGCACGCGTGCACAACTCCGCCAGCTCGTTAAGGTGGTCACGCACATCCTACGAGCGCATTGTGAAAAAAAATTGACAAGAACAAACATTTAAACAATAGTATATGTTGTTGTTTAATCTCTGGGGGTAGGCCGTAGCTAGTAGCCAACAAGTAGCCAGGAGCTAATTGTAATTAGCACAGTGAATAGCACTACTATGCTTGAACGCAGAAGAGCACAGATTGTTGGGAAAGTTAAGTTGCTTCTTGCTGTTCGCAGGTCCATCTGTCGACTGTTCTACTTTGCTTTGCTTAATCCTTTGCTCTTGTACGTATTGTGAGCTTGGTCATCCAGCAGAAATCATTAAAGCTAGGACCTTAGAAGGGAGGACCCTATAGCCCCCCAAAAGTATGGCACGTTGCAGTCTCATTCTGCAACGGATCAGACTGGAGTCTTTCCAAAGTCACAGTGTCCAAGCTGCTGTCCTAAGATTGAAAACTCCAAACAGCACAGATCTTGCCTCACACTGGTAGTAGACGTCCATCCTTGGAACTTGCAAGTTGTGGTTCTAGTAGCTCAAAGTCAAAACATGTCAAAGCTATGAATTAATGACTCTAACTTGCGATATCCTTGTAGTTAAAGGAATCTGCAAAGCCTAAGCAATACATAGGCGCGCCAAACGCCAAACAAGCCTCCATTTGACGGTGAAAAGCCTTGCCCTGCACATTTGTTTAGCAACTCAATGGAAGGCTCAAAGTCTGCGACCAACTTTCCCACCTACATAATCCATCAATTCAACTCATCACATATCACTTTAACGCCGAAGCTCATTTCCTGGACCTGCTTGTACTTGCTGCCCACATCTGGTTCGTGCAAATAAGGCTGAACCAGGGAGTTCAGTTTCCTGACAGCATGATCTCCGGCTCTTGGCCTTTCGATCAAAGGCTTCATTATGATCTCTACATCAGTTTCAGCTTACTCTTGTGTTTGTGTCTGCAACTGTTGCTTGGGAGACCATCACAAATCATATACCTGCCGAGGTACTCGAACTCAGCCTGGCAAGGATGGCTCGCAACCCGGACAGCTGTGACAGTGCTCCAATGATG